GATTTAAAATATAAATGGTTTGATTTTTTTATTTGTAAATTTAGAAATACTTTTATAGAGTATATAAATGAAAAATTAAATTTTTTTATACATAATTTTTATTTAGTTGTTTCATTTGATAAAAAAAATTTCAATTATTATATAAATATTAAACAGAAATATTATTTGAAAATATGTATAAAAAATCAAACGACTCATATTTTGAAATAGAGAGTATTAACATTAGTATTCACCCATCTTTTATGGGAGTTGATTGATCTAAAGGCATGTGAGAGCTACTTTTTTTAGTCTAGTGGTAATTTAATACCTTTGGAAGAGGAGAACCTCTAATACCTTATTCATTTAATGATCTATATTTTATAATATTAGTTGTTGTCATAACTCAAAAATTCACCCAAATTTATTTTTCTCTTAAAATTTTACTCAAAACTTGTTATAACTCGATTTTCACCTAGCAAATCCGAAATTTCCCAAAAATCTTGATTTTTCTCAAAAATATTAATTTTCTATGATTTTTTTATTTAAATGAAAAGTTTCAAAATTTTTTTGAATGCTAACGTGAAACCAAGCCCATTAAGAAGCAACACTACCTAATTTCTTCAATATCTCTCCTCAACTGAGGTCCAGATCCCATTGTTGCAATGGCCGAGGAGGAGATGGTTTGTGCTGAATAACATTTTATTTCTGTGCCTGCTATTCCTTAATTTACATATTTTATTTGAAAAGATACTCTAGTATTTTGGATTGTGGTTCTCTTGCACGTATTATCTGCCCACGCTTTTGAGTCATGACAACCTGAATCTCTAACTTTTCAATTCTTTAACAATCATTATAAGAAAAACGATTGTTATTAAATTATTTAAGTGGTGGGCAATGATATTAAATCTTGTTAATTAACGAACTGATTAAGTCTTTTGGATCAATCTAAAAATTTACATATATACATGATCTATATGAATAGAACTATCAATCCAATAATTAAGTTTTGAAAATGTTAATTATAAGATGAATTTTTGGATAGGTTCTCTAAAAAACTTTGAAAAGACAACCTATAAAATATTTTTCCCATATATATATCTATACGTTTTAAGGAAAAAGTTATATGTAAATCAATTAGTAAGATATTTCACAAATTTAAAAAATGATTGGTACACTATCTGATTAAACACATTATACAATACTTATCGGTTCAGTCATTAAATTCTGTAACTTTTAGTTTCCTTGTCTTTAATTTAAATTTTAAAAAATAATTTTTTTAATAAGTATATAAAATGTGTTAAATTAAAGAGTATACCAATTATTGTTTCACAAATTTATTTTCTTTTTAATCAACCACAAATATTTTCTAATGTTTGAGAACTCTTATAGATAAATATATTACTTGTATGACATGGAGGTTGATAAAGAAAGCATTTACCTGGGTTTTGAGTCTTTTTCTTGAAAGAAAGGCGAATATAGAGAGGGGAAAATGAATAAAAATAAAAATAAAAAATTGAGAAATTTCTAAGTGTTAATTTTAGGTGTACAACTAGAAAATACCTTAACATTTATAGAAAATTGTTTAACATTCTTCATGGAAACAAAATAGTTTTAGGAGTGGAGAATTTTGATATAGATGGATTTTATAGTAGTTTAAAATTAATAGTCAACAATTTTATCGAATTTAACAATTGATAATAATTATTATTATTAATAATTCAAACACTATACCAAACCAATTTACCAAATAACCCTTTAAACAAGAACAGAGAGATAAGTAAGTATAAACCTTAAATGAAACACCTAATAAAACATGCACATTCTCTTCTACGTGTAAGACTTTTTAAAAATCACAAAAATATTTTTTTATTCAACTAGTATTTTATAAATTTAAATAAAAAATTTTTAATTGAAAGTTTTTTTTTTTTTTTTTTTTTTTTTTTT